AAGCATCTTTACATCTACCATATATTTGAATGAGTTTGTCTCTGCAAGTCCATCTGTTTGTTCAAGAACTCCTCCCAAATGATGTGAGGTAGGACCGCCAAATTCAGTACACAGTTTCCCCTTATCATAACTTGAAGCACTGTAAGGATTTGGTTGTGCCAGGACAATGGGATGTGCCTGGAATGGGATTGTTTCTCAGACAACCATACAGAAAAGAGACAAAATCACCAGGCAGGTGAAAGGGGCTGACTGGGGATGCCCCTCCACCCTGCCTGGGACTTCCTCAGCTTTGAGCCTCCCACCTTCCCATGTGCCTTTTAGGGAGGGTGACAGGGGCTGAAGCCCTCCCCCTCTGATTCATATGGGAACATTTTTGACTGTGCCCCTTCATCAGGGAGCGAGGGGAAAGTGCACAGTTTTCTGCATTCCTCACTCTGGTGGGGGAGGACAGGGGGCTGATGAACTTGGACCTGTCCCAGCCAGGGGACATGTACCCTTCCCATAGCTGTGCCTGCTGGAGCTGCAGCAACCATAGAGAGGTGCTTTTCACCATGCTGCTGCAATGAGGGGTGGGGTGGGGTAGTCCTCCCTCCTGGGTCAGCTTGCATACTGAACCCCACATCTCCAGCCCCGCCTCAGAGCAATGATTTAAATGAAACATGAACATGTTCATTTGATTTGCCAAAAAACAAAAATTGAGTTTAGGTCCTGAGCAATGCCAGGTGAATCTTCTAGTTTTCAATAAAACCAATGTCTGTTCTGCAGTGACTTCAGGTGGTTTTCATTCTAGGGGTCAGATTCTCAGCTGGTATAAATTGGAGTAACTCCATGAAAATCTGTGGAATGGGGAGGGGGGAGGAGAGCACTGACAGAATTGCAAGGCCCCCAGGAGTGTTTTGATCAATCTCTAGTTTCTTTTGAATTGATTCACAGTCAACTCCAATGATCTACAATGACCTGTGTACGAGGCAGCTGCTTGTGAACCTATTTGAAAGCTGGGCTGGGACTGGGGTTAGAAGAGATGCACTCCCAGAAACACACCTGCTGCGGATTAGGCCCTCTCCTGTTACTATCTCATCAGGTCCTACAGTGAAAGAAATTGCTGTGTTTAACGTCTATGTGTTGCCTATTATCCACTAATGCAGTTGAGAAAAAAATCAGAAAGATAATTTACAAATTTGTATTTAATATGGGACCTTGTTCCAGCTAATCCACTCCTGATAGTGCAGAAAATACATTGAATTTGAGCTCTTGTATCGAATTGAATATCCTTGTGGGGTACCATTTCCATATTTTCCTTTACGCTATCACTTGGATTTTTTTCCTTCTCAGTTTATATTTTTCTGGCCAGGAAGATTGCACGATTTAGATTTACATTATATTGCATGTAATCAACTGAATTTGCAAGCTTCTGAGTTTACAAGTGCAAATGGTGCATTCATGGGAACAACTGGGCACCAACTATGGGAAAAAGGGCTAAGTACAAATTTGGAAGCTATGTGGAAGTTCTGCCCTTGCCATTCAATAAGCATGTGATTGTAGCAGATTTAAAACTAATAAAAGAAAGTTCTTCTTCACACAGCGTGTAGTCAGCCTGTGGAACTCCTTGCCAGAGGAGTCTGTGAAGGCTAGGACTATAATAGAGTTTAAAGAGAAGCTAGATAATTTCATGGAGGTTAGGTCCATAAAAGGCTATTAGCCAGGGGATAAAATGGTGTCCTTGGCCTCTGTCTGTCAGAGGCTGGAGAGGGATGGCAGGAGACAAATCGCTTGATCATTGTCTTAGGTCCACCCTCTCTGGGGCACCTGGTGCTGGCCACTGTCGGCAGACAGGATACTGGGCTAGATGGACCTTTGGTCTGACCCAGTACAGCCGTTCTTATGTTCTTATGATCGTTTTCCTTCCAACAGGTGTTTTTATACACTGTAGAACACACATTATAGAATGTGCTGTACCATTATCTATGCCTGGGCATAACCAATGGTGACATTTGCAGAACAGGACTAAACTGATGTTATGTTTTAAATGCATTAAAGTTTCATAAGAATTTAAGTTTTAAAATGCCCAAAACATTGGAGGTGGATAATTTTCCAAGAGTTAAATTAAGGGATATTGATTTGCTGTAATTGCTGTTTTCACGTATCTAATTGAAACCAGATATGCTATTCAAAGTAATGTGTACACAGTACTAATTAGGGTCTTGGGGTCTGATCTGTTTGTATCCACATCTGTATCTGTACAAATGAGCCGTGGATAGCTGCATTGAAATGCATGGATACAGATACCTGTGGATATAAAGTGGATATCCATGGATTTGCAGGACTTTTCTAAAACCTGTTTAATTTGGTGAGTGTCTTTCCTTTGACTTCAACAGGTGTTGGATCAGACCCTAGAAGAGATCACAAAGATCATGTGATTTAAAACTAAAGCAACACGAGCTAAGGAATGGGAGTTTCTGAAGTCTGATTTTGGGTCTGACACGGAAATGCTGGCATGACACAGATCACTTCAACTTTCTGCCTTACTCACCTATTTCATAGAATCATAGAATCTTAGAGCTGGAAGAGACCTCAGAAGGTCATCAAATCCAGCCCCCTGCTCTAGGCAGGACCAATCCCAATTAAATCAACCCAGCCAGGGCTTTGTCAAGCTGAGACTTAAACACCTTTAGGGATGGAGACTCCATTACTTCCCTAGGTAACCCATTCCAGTGCTTCACCACCCTCCTAGTGAAATAGTGTTTCCTAATATCCAACCTAGACCTCTCCCACCACAACTTGAGACCATTGCTCCTTGCTCTGCCATCTGTCACTACTGTGAACAGCCTTTCTCCAGCCTCTTTGGAACCTCCCTTCAGGAAGTTGAAGGCTGCTCTCAAATCCCCCCTCACTCTTCTCTTCTGCAGACTAAACAGACCCAACTCCCTCAGCCTCTCCTCATAGGTCATATGCTCCAGCCCCCTAATCATTTGTAATCTGTTTGTCTCACTTGACCTATTGCTTTGAAAGCTGTGTTTTATTACTGCAGATTGAGCATCTGCAATACACATAATCACATGTGGATGCACACATACACAATCTCCTGTGAAAAGTTTGTGATGATTGTTTTTGGTTTGGAAGACAGAAAATTATGTAGCTGTAGTCTGTAGCTTGTACAAATCATTAGACAGTCATTGACCTTATTGGAGCTGCACCGTTTTACACCACTGGGGGACCTGGCCCTAAGATTGTGTCATGAGACTCTTTCAGCTCCAGTTATAAACTATTCACAATGCTTGAGTGTAACTTTTATTCATTTTCCTCCATTTAGCTGGATGTCACTTTTCAGTGATATAGAGCAAAGCAGGGGAAGAGAGATGGTTTAAAAAAACCATCAGCCCAATGGAATGAAATGTAAGGAAACGGGTTTTCCTGTAAATATATCCTATAATAATGTTGTGGGCATAATATTTATAGCCAATGGGGAATAGTCATATGGAAAAAACGTTAAAGTTTAAAGAAAAGACACAGCTGCTTGCATCTAAAATATGGAATTTGATTCTCTGCTCCCCTCCATTGCCTATATTCTATGTATCTTTACTGTCTTCCGCAGAATTAGTCTTGACTTACACTAACATAAGCTAGAGAATAATTGGGCCCAGCAAATTCTGAAGTAAGATCCATAATTAAATTCACTGAAGTACTTACTTATATGAGGAATTTTAAATAGGGCTGGCTGGAAAACCACCATTCTGTTTTATTAGAAATGTCAAGGTTTTGGTATTTGCTTTAGTTCCAGAGTGAAGCTCTGACACCTTGTTTGAGAAGGGGAGAGAAAACCTGCCCAACCCAGAATATCCAGGTAGTTCACACACTCACCTGTGATATGGAAGATTTGCCCTGCCTGGTTTTGGGAAGGAACTTGTAGCTGTTTCTTCCACTTTGCAGGCAAGTGGCGGAACCATGTGGCTGCTCTGGGTCTCTCTCTCAAATTGCATCCTGGACTGGAGAAAACGTCCCAATGTTTTCGTTGAAACGGACGTGCTTCTGTGAAATACTGTGACACAATGGCACTTTTTAAAGGGAAAAATAGTTTTGTTGACATTTTCCCCACCAGCTCTGACTACAAGTCCACATCTAGTTTCACTGAAGTCAACTGGACCATTCACACACTAAAAGTGAACTATGTAATTAAATACATTGATGAACTATGGACTATGGGAACTCATGGGCCACATGGTAGAAGGTGCTGTGGGCTTTTACCTTTCATTGATATGAAGCCCCTAGTGGGTAAATAGCCACGAGCTACAGCCATCAATCTAAGACAGATGCATAGTAGGGCAAATCTCCAAGCATCGCTCTTGATGGAGAAATGTATGGAAAAGAGGTAAATCATAAATTGTAAGGTATATAATCTACTACTGTTTTAGGCTGCATACTCTCATCTAGACTGCATGAGCACAGCCTGTCAGGGTTTGGCATTTTTGCTAGTTGATCCCCATTTCTCAACCTTTAATAATTTTCTGGTACTCCCTCAACAGAATGGTGCGGGGATGAGGGGGAAGACGCTCAGATGTTATAAGTCAGGTTTTCTGTGAGTCATTGCAAGGAGTCTCTGTGGTGGAAGTGCATCTAAATTAGCAAAGCACTCAGGAGCAAGAGGTCCAGCCACTGCAGCCCATAAAACATCAGCATGCAATCAGGGCTGCAGTACAAGCAGAAATCCAGCTATTACTTTCTAGTAGCTTCCTTGACCAGCCCCCCGTCTAGCAGAATTATGGCTGATGAAAGTTCCAGAATTCCTCTGGATTCCACCACTTAAGATCTGAGTTCCCCTCTCTCCGAAGAACACCAGTGAAGCCCAACTCATCCCAAAACAGGAGCCGTGACTGTGCAAGCTTCTTCCCATTCCCAGCCTGCTCTGCTAATGGACCCCCAAAAACCCAGCACTAGCAGTCAGATGTTCAGGCTTCATGCTGCTTCAGTCAATGTGACAGGTTTTTTTTTTCTTTATGATATAGATCCCTGTCTACTAGGAATTGAGCCCATGATACCAACTGTTTTCATGCAGGCCACTGAACAGCCATTGGATGTCAAGTGAGTCTATACCCTATTAACCCAACTGGGATTAATACCAGTGACTGACGGATCAAAAGCTCCATAGCCTGTTACAAGTGTCTCACAAGTGTCATTTCTCTGCAGTTATCCTCTTTTTTTTTCTTTTCAATGTGACCCTTAATTATGTCCTGCTGCACCGTGTGACTCTATGTGGCTAGAATTTCTCCCATCTGTGAATTTCACACCATACGTTTAAAGAAACTGCTGGGTCTGGTGAAGGCACGTGAGTTGAATGCTAGAATGTGAGTCATTTAAAGAAAATGAGCAGCATTAGCTGGACAATATATGGGCAATAGCATGTTGAACACTATTGTAAAGCCAAGTATCATGTACGGTATACTGTCCTTTGTCCATGTGCAAAGGTGGTTAGAAAGCAGATTTCCATCCTCAGGAGAAAAAAATAGATTTTGAAAAAATATTCATCTCAAATCAAGATGAAAAACATAATTTACATTTTTTTTTCATTTAAATGAAATGCTGACCTTTTTTTGATTTCAGGCTATTGGCAATGCTTGACTTCAGTACTTTCAAAATATTTTGTTTATATTGTGCCTCTTTTTAAACATTTTAAAAGGTTTTAAATGTAAAAGAAAATTTCAAGATAAAAAGTCGTTTCAAAATGAAAAATCAAAACTCTCCATTCTAGAAATGCTGAAATGGACATTTTGACATTTTTTAAATGTTCTTTTCCCCAATCTTATTTTTTAAATTTGTGGTTATTGTTGAAATCAGCACAATTTCACAAAAAAGATTTAATTTTGTGGAAATGACATTTTCTGACAGACAACTGACAGACATTTTTGACAGTACTGAGGTAAAAGCGCCATGTGTTATTGTGGAACATGCTACCAGTAGTGTGTCTGTATACTGAGGTTGCATCTCAATCTTATCTCCATACACAGGACACTAAAGATTTTTTGCAAGGTTTACTCTCCTAAATGAAATAAAACTGCTACCCCGTGGGACTCATCCATCATTTAACTAATGATTTTACATCACTGGAATGCAGAAAAGCATCTACAATTAAAAACAAACCAACCCTGTAAACAATTAATCTATTTCACTCAAGGCCATTGAGTTCTGCCAAGGATTAGCTTGGGCAATCAATAATGCACTTCTGCAGATCTCAAACCTTTTTCAATTTCCATAGTTGAAAATTTTAAAGCAAAATTTCTCTGAGTGGGTCCTTTTTAATGAGAAATGGAGTGCAGTTCTGAGTGCAATCCCAAAAGAAACTTTTGTTGTTGTTGTTGTTGCAAAAGTGGCTCCTTTTGAAACTCTCAGTGACATGGGAGGCATGAAAAATACCGAATACTTTTTGTGACTCTTTCATGTCCCTCTAGCTAAAACTGTGTTGGGCGCCAAAGTTGATTAACCTCTGCAACACATGCCCAGTGACTGCCATTAGATGAGTCATATGGCAGCATGAGCCAAGTTCCATCCCAGGGAAAAAAAAACCCAGCTATAGCACAGGAACAAACCCCTGAAAAAAACAGGAATCTAGGACTGTATTTGGGCTATAAATACAGTTTAGAACTGTCTGGCTATTTGCTTTAATCCCCTGCGCTTCTATTTTAAATTTAAATGGTATTACCCTGTTAACCACTTTCCATTTTTATCATTCTTACCATGATGTAAGGACATGAGATATTTTAGAAACCAGAAAAGGGCCATTTGCACCATTATGGCTTGATGCTAATTTCTGTCCATTTCTTGAACTAATCCTCATCCTGGTGATGAACTATTTCTTTACATATGCCTCGCACAAAACTTCCCATACCCTTTAACCTATGATAAATCCATTGGAGTGGGGAGGGGGGGGGGTCTCAGATAGAAAGGAGGAAGGACTGGAGGAAAGCTTCCTTTTGTTCCTCCTGCTTTTTCACTAAGGCTGTGTCTAGATAATCCCTGCTCTCCGGGGTTTCCCTGCCGGACTGCACAAAGGGGCACCCCCAAACATGCCACCACACCAAGGGTACGTCTACATTACATGCCTCTGTCGGCAGAGGCATGTAGATTTGTTTGTTCAGCAAAGGTAAATGAAGCCGCGATTTAAATGATCGCGGCTTCATTTACATTTACATGGCTGCCGCGCTGAGCCGACAAACAGCTGATCAGCTGTTTGTCGGCTCAGCGCGGCAGCCATGTAAATGTAAATGAAGCCGCGATCATTTAAATCGCGGCTTCATTTACCTTTGCTGAACAAACAAATCTACATGCCTCTGCCGACAGAGGCATGTAGTGTAGACGTACCCCATGACTGATATTGTACAACACATGATATTAATGGTAGAAATAATTTTCAGTATTTTCTGAGTCATTTAAGAGATACTGCAGTCACATTTAAAAAAACACGTAGGCATCTAAGCTTACTTAAAAGTCAATGGGGTGTAGACTTCTAAGGATCAGAGTTTTAAAGGTATTGAGGCTCTAAAGATGAAGTTAGGTGCCCAGTGTGATTTTCAAAAGTGATGAGGTGCCTAAATCCCATTGTAATAAATGGGAATTCTAAGTACTGCTCAGAGAAAATTTTTAGATGAAAGGATTTTCACCAAAAAATGCAGATTTGGGTCAACCGAAATAGTCCACAAATCCATGTCAAAGTTCACCAAAATGTTTTAATCAGAACAAAAAAATACAAATTCAGAAGAAGTCAAAACATTTCATTCAGATCTTTTCAAAATGAAACTTTTTGACTTTTCAAAGATTGAAATGAAATGTTTTCTTTTTGGTCAAACAAAGTTTTTTTTTTTTTAAGCTGAAATTCAACTTCTTTGACTTTTTCAGTTCACTGAAACATCTAAAAAATTTTGAATTGCTCCAAAACTATTTTTGTTTTCAATTTTTGGATTAGCCACTAAATCAATAAATTGGTTATTCACCGCTCTCTCCTCATAAGCCACCTGAGTATTTTTGAATATGCTACCATGTGTTTGGATTTACATATAGATTCATTATGTGAAGTTACAACTCTATGCACATCATGGTACACAAAAGTTCAATAACAATGACAGATGAGGACAAAGCTTTCTGATGGTTTGTTAATGCTGCATTTTGTGGACAGACAGTGTAAATAGGCTCTTGGGGACCACATTGATTGAGATAGCTGAGGTTCAAGATGAACAGATATTTAATATGAAGTATTTACATCTTTTCAGTAGGAAGTAGGACTCCTGTTGTTGGAGAGAGAGGGTGGGACACACAATTATAGCTTTCCCCTCTTGTGGACCCCTATACCTCGCACAAGGATGGTATAGTACTTCAAATAACAAAGGCATTTCCTGGGAGAACCCAACCACAAAGCTATATCTGCACTAGAGGCTGGCCCCAGTGCAGCCCCCGAGAGCAGACAGGATTGTTAAAAAGGCAATTCGTACTGATCCAATTTATGCTGGGTTCAGGCCAGAGTGAACCGCATCAGTGCAAATTGCTGCTTAGTTTGTCTCCATTTGGGATTTGCACTGGTGCAGCTATGCCAGTGATGGCACTAGTGCATGCAAGGCTGTTTGAATGCAGCTGTGTATACTGCAGTGCATTATGTAGGCACAATGCATGGCAATGAAGATTTCAGTCTGAGGCAGGACAGTAATTCCTGGTGAAGGAGATCAAATAGAATGTGAGAAATGGAGATGAAGCCAATTGTTTATTTTTTGTCCACTACTGTAAAATATTACAGGGACCTTGCAATGCATCTCTGCTTTCCGGCTTTCTCCTGTATGTTTGGGTGTGGTTTAGTGGGCCTGGCTCGTGGCCAGATCTGGATAGAATCTCACAACACATACAGTGATATAGAGAGGGCTATTTTTACAGAGGAGTAAGCCAATCTTTCTTTCTCTCCCCTGTGTCTGCTTGTTTCCTAGGTACACCACATTCCCCACAGCGAGCTTTCCACTCCCAGAGAAAGTTTGTGCAAGTCCTAAAATAATTTCATCCCACCGGCCCACAAATATTCCCATTTGGTAAGCCTTATATAGAGTAATTATTGTTTGACATGGCACCACAGCTAGGTCAGGGCTTATTTTGGGTTGTGTGTTATAAAAAGCTGTTTGTTTAAAAAAAAAAAAAAAAAAAGACTATGTTTGCCCATCTGTCATGTTGAACAAATGGGTCTAGAAACTTGTTAGTTGCCTTTGTTGTTTGTTTGTTTGCTTGAAGAGTCAGCATTCAGCGATACCAAAGCCATCTAGCCATCAGTGTCCAGCTTATGTAGATGAGTCTTCATTTTAATTATAAAATGTAATGGGTAGGTAGCCAGTTGTTGTGGGGCTAATGACATATGCTGGTGGGAGTCACATTTTTGGAGGAGAAGGTGAAAACTTAGTAGCCACACAGGTAAGAAGCTAAATATTATGGGCAAGTGACAGGAGTGACAGTAAGAAAGTTAAGCTACCTGCTTCACTTTTCATCTATATAGCACATAGCACTTTTAGGGTATGTCTACACTACAACGTTAATTCGAACTAACTTAGTTCGAATTAGTTAATTCGAACTAAGCTAATTCGAACTAACGGATCCAGACTAAAAAACTAGTTCGAATTAGCGTTTTGCTAATTCGAACTAGCATGTCCACATTAAGTGGACCCTGAACCGGGGTTAAGGATGGCCGGAAGCAGTGCCGGCAGGGCATCAGAGGAGGACTTAGAGCGTGGAGCTGCTGCCTCAGGCTAGCCGAGGGCTGTGCTTAAAGGGTCCCGACCCCCACCCCGGACAGACAGTTCTCAGGGGTGCCCCGCTTGCAAAGCAGTCCTGGCTTGGAGTGCCCGGATTATCCACACGGGGCACATCACACCACTCAGCCATCAGCCCGGCTGCACTTGCCGCAGGCTGCTATCTGGGAAGAGGGAGCAATTGGGGGGCTGCAGGAGAGCTTCCACCCCCAGAAGCCCGCAGAGCCAGCCCAGTCCTCCCCATCGGGGGCTCGTGCCCCATTCCTCCCTCACCTCCTTCCACTTACCCTTCCCTAGCCCCTCTTCTTGATGTACAAAATAAAGATAACGTGTCTTCCAAAATGGAATCTGTCTTTATTGAACAAAACCGAGAGAGGCTGGGAGAGGGGTCAGGGGTTGGGAACAGGTCCCATATGAAGAGAGGCTAAAGGGACTGGGACTTTTCAGCTTAGAAAAGAGGAGACGGAGGGGGGACAGGATAGAGGTCTCTAAAAGCAGGAGTGGGGTGGAGAGGGTGCATACAGAAAAGTTCTTCATTCGTTCCCATAAAGAAGGACTAGAGGACACCAAAGGAAAGGAATGGGTAGCAGGCTTCAAAGTAGTAACAGAAAGTTGTTCTTCACAAAGCAAAGAGTCAACCTGTGGAACTCCTTGCTGCAGGAGGCTGTGAAGGCTACAACTAGAACAGAGTTTAAAGGGAAGTGAGATCAAGTCATGGAGGTTGGGTCCATGGAGTGCTATTAGCCAGGGGGTAGGAGTGGTGTCCCTGCCCAAGGTTTGTGGAAGGCTGGAGAGGGATGGCACGAGACAAATGGCTTGGTCACTGTCTTCGGTCCATCCCCTCCAGGGTCCCTAGGGTTGGCCGCTGTCGGAAGACAGGCTACTGGGCTAGATGGGCCTTTGGTCTGACCCAGGACGGCCATTGTAAGCTCAGGGCTCAGGGTTGGGGGTCTCACTGGACCCCCTTGATTCTCTTGCACACCTGCTCCTGGGTGGCCAGGCTGGCAGCTCTCCTGCCCTAGCCGGCCACTTTCCTGTGCCTAGTGCAGAGATCGTGGACGAGGTCCACGATGTCCGCACTAGCCCAGGTGGGTGCCTGCCTCTTGCGGTCCCGGGCAAGTTCCCGGGAGCCGCCAGCCTGGTCCCGGGAAGAGGGGGAGGGCTGGGGGGCATCGGGGGGGGGGCTCGATCTGTGCCAGGTGCAGGGTCTGCTGGCTGGGTGCTGGCAGGCTTGCACCTGGCACGGGCACCGTAGCCAGCCCGTGCCCCTTTAAGGGGGCCGGGACCGGGAGGGGGGCAGTAGAATTTCCCTGGTGTTGGCCAGAGTGGCCACCAGGGAAACCTGGGGAGGGCTAGCCTCCCACTAGTTCGAACTAGGCTTAATCCTCATGGAATGAGGTTTCCTAGTTTGAACTAAGCGCTCCGTTAGTTTGAATTAAATTCGAACTAACGGAGCGCTAGTGTAGCGCCTATGAAAGTTAGTTTGAACTAACGTCCGTTAGTTCGAACTAACTTTGTAGTGTAGACATACCCTCAGTGCTCAAGGAACATCCCATCTGTTAGTCAACTAATTCTCACAACTGCTTTGTGAGATAAATAAATGTATAGTCTTGTTTTACAGATGGAGAAATTGAGGCACCAGAGAGGTAATGACTTGCCTGCGGCCACACGAGTGAGTCAGCTTGGATTAGACCAAAGGAGCTTCTGGCTTCTATCCGTATGTTCATTTCTCCAGAGCAAGCAACGTCAGATAGCAAAGTTCTTTCTACTTTTAATAACTGGTTCTAAAAACTGACGTGTGTGTATCTACATCTACATCTACATCTACATCTGTATCTATCAATTGCTTTACCCATTTCTGAAATGCAGCTACTTCAGGGGTGGGAAACAGCTGTTGTTTAATGGTGCGTAGCAATACTTTGCAATGTTTTAGGACAAGGTTGGAAAACTATTGCATTCAATAATTTGGTTATGCAATTACCCAAGTTTGAACTTGACCAACACATCTAAATTAGTACCACATACTCTTACAAAGATGGTCATAGCAGCTTTAATGATCACAAGGGACGGAAGTTTTATCCAGGAGTATGTCTAGACCAGTGGTCTCCAACCTTTTTACACCGAAGATCACTTTTTAAATCTCAGAACAGGCGAAGATCTACCGCCCCGCCCCTTCCTTGAAGTCCCGCCCTCTCTATTCTCCTCCTCTCCATCACTTGCTATCCCCAATCCTTATACTGCT